AACAAACAGTGGATTTATCAGGAAATGCCTGAGGATCAAAATCTGTGAAGAAATGACAAAAGCGAGATTAGATGGTGGCAAAAGGTGAGCTTTGTTGCAATCTAAAGAGAAGCCTCATCTGACTCTACCAGGATTTCTGAAAACAGGATTTCCCTTCAGAGCAGCTTCAATTGGGCTAGGAAGTCAGGCCCTTTTATTCATAAATTGATTAGTGATTGGATATGGGAAGAGGACATGATCTTAGATGAGGCATTTGCCTTGGCTAAAGGCAATTCTCCAGAGAAGGTGTGTGCAGACAGCTGAGAATACCTACCTTCTGAAAGGGTAACCAACTGGCCTACCATTATTAACCACCCCTGCCCTTTCCAAAACTAAATGGATAAAAATCCATTTTACATGGCATGGTACACAAATTCTGTCATGATTTTACACTTTCAGCCTGGAGAGCCCTTCCACTCTGTCCTGGTCCCACTTGTCTATTGCCAAACTCTCACTAATTCTTTAACTTGAGTTGAATGTAATGTCAGCTCCTCTGAGAGGCCTCTTTTGACTGCCTTTGCAGGCAGAGTAGTTCTTCCTGTTTAGAATGCCATAGTATAGTGATAGGGAGTGTGACTTTTGAAGCCAGGGTTTTAATATTACCTTTGCCACTTGCTTACTATGTAATCTAATGCAAGTTACTTAAACTGTCTGTATCTTTGTTTCCTTGTTTATCAAATTGTTGTTAGGTGCCATTGAGTAGAGTATGACTCAAAGCAACCCTATGAACAACAGAGCTGAACCCTATCTTATCCTATGCCATCCTCACAATCTCTGACATACTTGAGCCCTTTGCAGTATGCACTTACCATGTTAATTCATCTTGTTGAGGAGGGTCTATCAAATAGAATAACAATAACACAACAATAATAGAGTAACAGTAATTCTAAATTGTAGGAGTTTTCAAAGGGTTAAGAGTTAATACCTATGTGTAAAGTTAAAATGGTGTCTGGCAGGAGTAAATCGCTGTTGTTGTATACCATCAAGGTGGAACCGGCTCATAGCTAACCCTCTGGCAGGTTTTCAGAGGCAGATAATCACATGGGAGGAGACTCCACATCTTTCTCCCATGGAGCAGCTGGTGGATTCAAACTGCATGCCTTCAGGATTGCAGCACAGCTTCTTACCACTAGGCCACTAGAGTTCCCTGCAGGAGTAAATAGCTGCTGTTATTAGTATTGTTATTAAATGTGCTCAGTATGCGTTTGTTGAAGGCATGACGGATGGAAGGCAGTGGGAGACCAAGAGTGCAGGGTATGTTCAGGGAATGTTGAGTAATCCAATCTGTCACAAGGGGAGTAGTAGCCTCTGTGAGCCTGTGTTGGTAAGAGTTGTTAATGCCACAGTGAAGAAATGTTCATCTTATTTGGTAAGCAGTAAGAAACAATGACAGAGTTTGTCAACAGATGGGAGAGAAAGTAAAAGAGAGAGACAGACTGAGCCAGGAGGAGAGGCATGCATGTTGTAAGATGATAGTTACAGGTGAAGGTGGTGGATACAAGTGCAGAGAGGTGTTAGAAGAAGAGAGGAACAAGGATGTATGGGACAACGGAGTCAGGTGAGGGCAAAGGGGCTTAGAGAAAAGTAATGTGAACATGGAGTGATAGGGACAATCTGGGCGTGGGAAAGAGGATGAAAACAGGTGAAATTGGTGAGGACAGTTGGGGGATGGGGTTAAATGAATGGCGGGGACCAATGAGGATAACCTGAGAGCTGGGGCTGGACCATCTGAGAGGGAGACCTAGCGCTGGACAAATTGAGAGAGGGGCAAAGGGGAATGTGATGTCAGAGAAGGGGCGGTGATGTAAGAGCTGGGGCGGTGGGGCGGTGATGTCAGGGCTGGTGCTGATGCTGGCGGCGCAGTGCATTGTGGGCAGCTCCCCGCTCTGCTGCTGCCGCCGCCGTCGCCCGAGGAGGATCGGGGCCGGGCCGGGCCGGGCCGGGATGGTCCCGGTCGGGAGGCCACCGCCGCCGCCGGAAGGAGCGG